CCCCCCCAGGCTCCTCACACCCTTGGTTTCCATTTTTTCATAGGTTGTGGCAGATTCAGGCCTCCCTTTGTTTTCTGCCAGGCCCCCCAAATTTTTGCATGGGCCCCGTACCCCTGGTCACCTGCTGCGGGGCCACAGTGTGCATGGTCCTGTCCCCCCTCCCATTGCTCCACTCTGCCCTGTGCCACTTTAGGTCTCCCACTCCTGTGGTTTCATTTTTCATAGGTTTCTGGGGGGAATTCAGGCCCCCATAGGGGCTGCCAGGCCCCAAAAACTGCCCTGGGGCCCCCGTACGCCTGGTACGCTGTGCTGGGGTTTTCCCCGTGTGTCATGGGTCCCTGTACCGCCTCCCAAATTTCTCCCATCGCCCTTTTTGCCCTTTCGGTCTCCTCACACTCTGTGGGTTTCCCCTTTTGTCATAGGTTGGGCAGGAAATTTTTAGGCCCCCCATGGGTGCCAGGCCCAAAAATCTGCCAGGGCCCCCTTACCGCTGGTCCCACCTGCTGGGTTCCACAGTGTGTCATGGGTCCTGTACCGCCTCCCATTGCTCCCACTCTCGCCATGTGCCACTTTCAGGTCTCCTCACACTCCTTGTGGTTTCCATTTTGTCATAGTTGCTGGCAATTACAGCTCCCATCAGGTGCTAGCCAGGCCCCAAATCTGCCATGGGCCCCCGTACCGCCTGGTCACGCTGCTGCTGGGTCCACAGTGTGTCATGGGTCCCTGTACCGCCTCCCATTGTCTCCATCCCACTCTGCCATGTGCCACTTTCAGGTCTCCTCACACTCCTGCTGGTTTCCATTTTGTCATAGGTTGCTGGCAGATTTACAGGGCCTCCCATAGGTGCTGCCAGGCCCCAAATCTGCCATGGGCCCCCGTAGACCGCCTGGTCACGCTGCTGCTGGGTCCACAGTGTGTCATGGGTCCCTGTAACCGCCTCCCATTGCTCCCACTCTGCCATGTGCCACTTTGAGGTTCTCCTCACACTCCTGCTGGTTTCCATTTTTTGTCATAGGTTTGTGGCAGATTACAGGCCTCCCATAGGTGCTGCCAGGCCCCAAATCTGCCATGGGCCCCTGTACCGCCTCGGTCACGCTGCTCGCTGGGTCCACAGTGTGTCATGGGTTCCTGTACCGCTCCCCATTGCTCCCACTCTGCCATGTGCCACTTTGAGGTCTCCTCACACTCTGTGGTGTGTTCCCATTTTGTCATAGGTGCTGGCAGATTACAGGCCTCCCATAGGCTGCTGCCAGGCCCCAAATCTGCCATGGGCCCCGTGTACCGCTCTGGTCACGCTGCTGCTGGGTCCACAGTGTGTTCATGGGTCCCTGTACCGCCTCCCATTGCTCCCACTCAGCCATGTGCCACTTTCAGGTCTCCTCACACTCCTGCTGGTTTCCATTTTTGTGGGTTTCATAGGTTGCTGGGCCAAGATTACAGGCCTCCCATAGGTGCTGCCAGGACCCCAAATCTGCCATGGGCCCCCATACCGCCTGGTCACGGCTGCTGCTGGGTCCACAGTTGTGTCATGGGTCCCTGTACCCGCCCTCCCATTGCGCCCACTCTGCCGATGTGCCACTTTCAGGTCTCCTCACACTCCTGTGGTTTCCATTTGTCATAGGTTGCTGGCAGATTACAGGCCTCCATAGGTGCTGCCAGGCCCCAATCTTGCCATGGGCCCCCTGTACCGACCTACCCTGGTCACGCTGCTGCTTGGGTGGTCCACAGTGTGTCATGGGTTCCCTGTACCGCCTCCCATTGCTCCCACTCTGCCATGTGCACTTTCAGGTCTCCTCACACTCCTGCTGGTTTCCATTTTGTCATAGGTTGCTGGCAGATTACAGGCCTCCCATAGGTGCTGTGCCAGGCCCCAAATGGCCATGGGCCCCCGTACCGCACTGGTTCACGCTGCTGCCTGGGGTCCACAGTGTGTCTGGGGTCCATGTACCGTCCTCCATTGCTCCCACTCTGCCATGTGCCACTTTCAGGTCTCCTCACACTCCTGCTGGTTTCCATTTTGTCGTAGGGTGCTGTATGGCCTCCCATTGCTGCTGCCTCCACCGCCACACTGTGGCTCCAAACACTGGTTTTGGCCCCGTGACTGGCCAAATGAGTGAAGTGTGCGGTGTGATTCTAAGATCGACGGGCACTCATCTGCATGTCTTACTGTCTGACAGTATTATTGTTTCTCTTCCCAGCAGACTCCAAGGGCATTTAAATTAAAGGTACAGTGTTCTGCACTAATATAAAGTCTCTCTGAAGCCTAGAAACACCCTTTTTTTAAGTTAAAATTCACAGCGAATATATTCGACTCGAATCAAATTTTTTTCCACGAAATTCGCCGAATCAGTCGAATCGAATTTTTGAATACTTCGCTCATCTCTAGTAGTAGCGCTGCATCATTTGTGGTTTCATTTATATTTTTTGTCTAATGGGTATATGACTGTATGTAGCAGCTTTACTTTTGTTGGTAGGTATTAGTTTTTAGGTAGGAGCTCAGGAGTTTAGTCACATTGATGATCTAAATGATGGCCGTCATCGTTTAACCTACTTTCTCTGAGCCCAGACAGGGGTGGACTGACAAATCTTGGGGACCCCCGGGCAATAGGTGATCATGGGCCCCCTGTGTCCTCAGACCCACACTCAAAGCACACCCAAAAAAAGCCTATAAAAGGTATCGAGGGGCATTCATGGGGCCCCCCTACTGACCCTGGCCCTCGGGCATGTGCCCGAGTGCTCGAAACGGTCAGTCCGCCTGTGGCCCAGACCGTCTTGGTCCTGCTCCAAGCCTGTGCCTGGATAGTGAAGGAGAAGAATGGACTTATAACCTGACTGCATAGTGGCTCATGCAAACCTGCACAGCAATGCACATAACCAGCATACGTCAATGCATCTGCTCTGATTTGTGTGCTGTGGTGTAAATGAGCCCCTGATTCAGTCTCAAAAATCATCCTCCGAGATCATAACAAAGACACAAGTTGGTTTCAGTCGGTTTGTACAACTGAGCTTACATTAGAGGACTGGCAGGCCGGCAAGTATCTGTTCTCCATAGAAACAAAACTGATAAAAAAAAACCTATAGCTAAGGAGGTAAATGCGGGCAGGTTCATGTGCTTTTACTGCTTGTTTACAATTTGTTATGGTCTGGGTACATGTTCATCTTAAGAAAATACATTTAATGGCAGAATTATTGTGTATCCTCTATCTGCCTGGAGCTCAGCTTTAAAAAGATAGGCTTGAAAAGCCATGTCACATTAGGCACATATGATCATTTCATAGCTCGCAAGCCCCAGGAACTCTTTCAAAAATGCTCCAAGAAAGTGCCTTGGAAACACAAAGCAGTTCATGAGTTTCTGTATGCATTTGTAATGGAATTGCCCATTAAAGAATTTTGTAATGAATGAAGGATCCAAATGGTCTTCTCTGTGCGGATAAAGTGGATTTTCAATTACCGCACTGTAGAAGAGAGGCAATTTACAAATTATAAATACATTCTGCTTTCAATTTAGATTAAAAACACTCCAACACAATTTCCTATGTCTGAAAGTACGTTTCTTTTTCTTCGTATATTACTGTATTTTTAAAGCCTAAGTTTAGTTATATTAAATATAATTCAGCACAAGAGACAGTACTTACTTCGAATGAAATGGTATTCCTTGTGCTGCTGAGGCTGCCCTCTTATTGAACTCACTAACCCCCACCCCCCAACCAACACTGTCTTCTGGTGCTGCTGCTGGGGTTGGCAGGGGTTAATACAATCTACTGGACTTGTCGTAGGCACCACAACAGGTAGATGGATGAAAAGTCAGCCTTCTCTGTTTATATAGTGCATTTGACTGTTAGAAGCTATAATGAAGCTTCTATTAATGGAAGGGAGCTGGGGGGGGACTGACTGGCATAGTAGGCACTCCTGACAAGTGACAGCAGCTTATATCAAACCTTAGTGTTCCCATGCAGTGAGGTTGATACAAGGTGGAGGCAGAGGATGGAAGACTTCAACTAAGAGGGCAACCACAGCACAAGGGGGCACTTCTCAATCAATGTAGGTACCATCCATTGTGCTGATTTTAAAAAAGAAATTACTAAAAAACTAGGTGTTAAATGCATGGAAGGATATGATATATACTGTACATATACCATAAATATATATATATATTGTGGCAGTGCGGTATCCATTGCCATGGTCTAAATAAAAGCTTATAACCCAGGAATCCTCAACCAGACAGGTTGAGGGGCTCCAGGCAGGTTGCTTAATGCAGAGGAAGCTGGTTTGTCAGTTTCCTCATTGGTTCTTAAAACCTGTTTTGGGACCTGGGGCCTGGAGATTTCTAAGTGATTTTGGATGGGGATGAAATCTCCAATTCTGGGTCCGTGTTTTCAGAACCCCCAGCACACTGATTGGACAGGTGTGTGCAGGCCTTTTTGTAGAGGCCTAACCAGGGGCGGAGACTGACCATTTGGAAACTCGGGCACTGCCCGAAGGGCCCGGGGTCAGTAGGGGCCCCATGAGATGCCCCTCGGTACCTTTTTTCATAGGCTTTTTTTTTTTTAGTTTTGGGCAAGGACACAGGGGCCCCATGATCCCCTATTGCCTGGGGGCCCCATGAGTTGTCGGAGGTTTACCTTCCAGAAGGACAATGACTCAGTCAGAATGGCCCAGTCAAAGTCCAGCCCAAAATCCAATTTGAGAATCTGTGGCAAGAGTTAAAATTGCTGTTCCCAGACGCTCTCCATCCAATCTGGCAGAGCTTGAGCGATTCTGCAAAAAGGAAAAATGGGCACAAATGTCCTTCTCTAGATGTGCAAAGCTGGGAGAGACATCCCCAAAAAGAATTGCAGCAAAAGGTGGATCTACAAAGTATTGACTCGAATACAAATGCATGCCACACTTTTCATAGATTTATTTGTAAAAAATGTTGAGGGAAAACCATTTAGAATCATTTTTCTCCCACTTCACAATTATGTGCCACTTTGTGTTGGTCTATCGCAGGGCTTAATATTTCAAGTCCCGAGCTAACTAGCCAGGCCTTAAGAGTTACTCGCCACCAGCAAACACACACACACAAACGGAGACACCTGTACACACACAGGACATGTACATACACACAGAAACATGTACACCACACACGCAGAGAGACACATGTACACACACACACACACACACACATGTATACACACACAGGCACGTATGGACACGCATACACACAGATACATGTAGATACATAGGAATACACACGCACAGACACATGTACATACATACACAGACACATGTACATACATACACAGACACATGTACATACACATGTACATGCACACACATACACATATGTACATGCACACACACAGACACATGTACACACGCACAGACACATGTACATACATGCAGACACATGTACAGATACACACATACACATGTACATGCAATTTATTTTCTTAAGATGAACATGGTACCCAGACTATGCACACTAAAGAATTTACAAATTGTAAACAAACACACACATGTACACACACACACACACACACACACACACACATACCATACATACCCCCCCCCCCCCATAAAAAGTTGCAGTACTTCGTTGTTTCATTCACAGAACCGGGTACTGCACTCAAGGGGGAGGCAGAGAGCACAGCACACACTCCTTCCTTTGCTTTCACTGCGCGCAGCTATTGAGCAGTCTGACGGCTCCCATTGCCAATGACAGACCCGGCCTGAGCTCCGAGCCTGCTCAGCAAGATGGCCCTGGGCGACAACACTCGCACCCACCATAATTTCCACTCGCCATTGGCAAGCAGGTGAGTGGAAATTTCCAGCCTGGTCTATCGCATAATAATCTCAATGCAATACATATACGTTTTTAGTTGTAACATGACAAAATGTGGACAATTTCAAGGGGTATAAATACTTTTTCAAGGCACTGTGTATATATATATATTTATATATATTATTCTTCCATATATATTTTGACAGTTCGAGGCTCCGTCACTATGAAAATGGCCAGGAAAAAGACACAGAGTTTGCATGTCTGCTTAGCGCAATGCTACAGATCTGGGTATTGCCGGTTGGGGCTCGGTAGTTGGGAAATTCCTAAGAGTCTTGGGCGGGATGGAATCTCCAACCCTGTGTCTGGGTATTGTGGACAACCAGCGGGGTGTGTGCCCAGGTGCACACAGCCCTAATAACGATGGGCTTGCGAGAGCAGTTAGTGGTGGAGGTGGAATAGCAGTTGCTATTGCTGCAAGCCTGAAGACAGAGCTGTGTCAGGAGAGGCACTGCTAACCAGAGACCCAGGTGGTTTGGAATTTTCATTGTGTATTATTTTGAGTGACATTGAAACCTCCTGCGTGGGAAACCATTTGTTGAAAGGACTTTTCAGTTACTGTTTAATAAAAGTGGGCTACCAGGCCCTTAATTTTAGTTCCTGTCTGACATAAACTCACTTAAAAACGCATCTATCGCTGAGCTAAAGCGTCCCCCATATCACAAGTGGTTGTCAGAATATGGGAAAGCAGACACTAGAAATCTGGGTCTCCGCTCCAGCAGTGAATATGACAATGAACGGTCAGCGGCTGTGTGTGGCAGCCAGGCAAACGGCTTTGTGAAAAAATTCACTTGATGAACTGTGTTGCATGCAAGTGGAAGTAACAAGCTCAGTGTGGCCTTAGAAGATGTCTTCACCTGGGAGGGCCAGTCCAGAGGGTCCAGTGTTGTTTAAGACAGTGAATTATTGGTTCAAGTGGAACCAGAATAAAGTGTGGGGCACAGTGCTGAGATCTGGGCCTCTTGATTACATGCAACCTACAGAGGAGGTTGAGGACTTCCTCGTAAAATTCAAAAAAAGATGCTTCACAAAGGAAATGGCCTAGGGACCAGTGGCCAAAATTGCTGCAATCCTTGCTGCTGAATCGGTTCCAGGTTTCCTACTAACAGATGGGTCCAAGCTGGTATGCTTATAACCAGTACAAAGCAAAGATCCTGCTTGGGGAAAATGTTCCGGTGTTTATTGGAATACCAGAAACACTCCAGCAAGGGGAGTTCATCACCCTTAGCAACAGGAGAAGTACCACCGGGAGCCCAAAGCATTAATCAAGCAACAGCTCAGGAGAACATGAGTGAA